CTGCAAGAGGAAAAGTGTGACTCTACAACAATTAGAGGGTCTTCTAACATTTCATTTGCTTTATGAATTCAGCAACCCCCATGGAACACTGGGCTCAATCAGATTCTGCAGTTTCAGGTGAGGAGCAGCTCTGCCTCCAGGGCTAGGCTGCCTACCTGGCTAGTCTTACAAGTCAGCTTTCCAAGTGAATTTTCCCATGGAAAATATTCTTACCCATGGCAGCCGGAGTCTGCATATTATTAACATTATGGACATAATTATTATTATTAACATTATGCTACATAATATTAGTAACAGTCTGGATTATTTATACATTACAAACTGCATAAATAGGTATTTTGAGGTGATCTGAGAACATGACCATTACAACACTGGAGAAATATATACTTGGTAATTTCCACATAAATTTCTGAAACACTACTTGTTTTGCCTATGTTAAAGATTTACCTCTTTTTCATACCTCTTTTTCAATGAGGTCATAAAACAGAGCTCATCCCACTAGGAATGTTTCTCTAAATGCCTCATCAGCAATAGAAAAACACTCACCTTCTATCAAAAGAAGTCTCATTAACTACCAAACAACAAAATACTGTGAATCAAATACCATTTCCAGGAAAATGGTAGCTTGTTTCTCCTTCTTCAACAATTGTCATGTAGCATCCCCTGAAGATGTTTCAAGTCATGTATGTTAAACTTCTATTCTGATTTTACATTTCAAGTGTCAAAAGGAGGGCTGGTTCCTAGGTTGCCAGTTGGCAGGAGCCCAGCTTATGTGTGGATCAGGGATGCAATACCTTTCTGGCTTTGCCCACATGAGGAAGAAGCCCTATCTGCCTGCAGGGCTACAGGAAAAGAAGTTAAAAAAAATAAAACGTTGCAAGTGACCTCATATTCTAATTATATTGAATCCAAACCAATTTTTTAAAATTTTAAAAACAAGAATAGTTAAAAATAATAATAAAAATTCAGTGGCTCAACCTTAGAAAACATTACTAGGTTATATATACCATTTGTCTTAATGGAAAAATAAAGAGTGATAAGAAATTTCAAGTCATCCAGGAACTACACTGTCCAAATATAGTAGTCACTAGCCACATGTAACTATCAAACACAGTTATGTGGCTAGTTGGAATTGAGATGTGCTGCTAAATTTTTTGTTTGTTTGTTTGTTTGTTTTTTGAGACGAAGTCTTGCTCTGTCGCCCAGGCTGGAGTGCAGTGGCACCATCTCAGCTCACTGCAAGCTCCGCCTCCCGGGTTCATGCCATTCTCCTGCCTCAGCCTCCCGAGTAGCTGGGACTACAGGCGCCCGCCCCCACGCCCGGCTAATTTTTTGTATTTTTAGTAGAGACGGAGTTTCACCGTGTTAGCCAGGATGGTCTCGATCTCCTGACCTCGTGATCTGCCTGCCTCGGTCTCCCAAAGTGTTGGGATTACAGGCGTCAGCCACCGCTCCCGGCTGCTGTTAAATGTTAAAAGAAGTGTTAAGACTTCTTATGAAAGAAAGAAACAAAAAAAAGAACGTGAACTATCTTATTAAATTTTTCATATTGGTCACATGGTATTTCAGATATATTGGATTAAATAAAATGTTGCCAAAACTAAATTCACCTGTTTCTTTTTACTATTTTTAAATTGTCTATTAGAATATGAAAAAGCAAGGCCGGGCGTGGTGGCTCAAGCCTGTAATCCCAGCACTTTGGGAGGCTAAGATGGATGGATGAGGAGGTCAGGAGTTTGAGATCAGCCTGGCCAACATGGTGAAACCCCATCTCTACAAAAATTACAAAAAAAAAAAAAAAAAATTAGCCGGGCACGCTGGCGCACACCTTTAATCCCAGCTACTTAGGAGGCTCAGGCAGGAGAATCACACGAACCCGGGAGGTAGAGGTTGCAGTGAGCTGAGATCAAGCCACCGCACTCCAGCCTGGGTGACAGAGTGAGACTCCATCTCAAAAAACAAAAAACAAAAAAAAAAAAGAAAGAAAAGAAAAAAGAAAACGAAAAAGAAAGTGGCTCACGTTACATTTGTATTGGACAGTTCTTTCTAAAAGATGGGAGCCTCTATAACAGGGGCTATAGAAAAAAAAGGCAAAAAAATTTCATAATGTTTTAAGAAAGTTTATGAATTTGTGTTGGTCTGCATTCAAAATCATCCTGGGCCATGAGTTGGACAAGTTTGCTATACCATCCAGCTATGGACCACAAAGTCCTTACCAAAAGCTATGAAAAAAAATTTTAAATATACAATTCACTTTGTCTAATATTTATTGAGGACCTATGTGCAAGACATGCCAGACACATAAACTATAGTTTGGATTCTAACAGATAAAAAGAGATAGGACTACAATTCATTGGAAGATATGCTATGGTCTTATAAGAAAAGGTAAAGCAAGGGTTGTACAGCAGAGCAAGGCACTTGTAAAGAACGCATCTTTTCAGGTGAACATTTACAAATATATAGGATTTTGACGGGTCATAAGATGTGGCACTTTAGAGTTGACAAATATCTTTATCATCCATTAACCCCACTGACGAAAAAGGAAAAATATTTCAGATGGGGCGGAATGGTGGGAACGAAAGCCTAGAGAGAGAAAAGGTCCACGGTTTTAGGGCGCCAGGAGACAGAGTGACATGCATGCATGTACAAGGTTGAAAATGCAGGCTGAAGCCACGTAAGAGACTTCTGGATGCCGTGCAAGGGAATCTGGACTTTTCTCCGGGTAGAATAAACCATCAAATACTTCCTATCAACTGCCAACAGGATTAAAAACACATAGTAGAAAGATAGTAATGCATGGGAAATAATTACCTGGGAGGAGAGTGGATGAAGCCTGGAGGTGTGGGGGAGAGGGAGACCGAAAATGCAAGAAAGGAAGAGATGATTGAGAGTCCAGCAGAACATAATCCTAAGAGGGAAGACAGGAAACAAAGGGAATAGAAGAAGGTACAAGGGATGCTGAGGGACAGGAAAAAATTAATTGGTTTATTCAACAAATATGTACTGGACACCTACCAAATGTCAGGCACCATGTTGCAGAAATTCACAATGGATGACTGTGGAGGGGTCATCTGTAGAGCATGAGAGAGAGTTACGCTGGGAACCAAGGAGAATGAAGTTGGCCTGGATCAACTGCTATGGGGAAGACGATAGGCCATCAAGACAGAGATAATTAGGGGCATCTAGTAACATTAAGATCCCAGCTGATGTTACAGCATGAATAAGAAATGGAATTAAGTGGTAAGGTTACATGACTTGATACTTTAGAAATCCCAGAAGCAACTAAAGAAAAAAATTAATTTTTTCTAGCTATGAAGAATTGACAAAAATATGTTTAGAAAATGTGAAGGGTATCAGCCAAGTCAAGGATGTTCAATGGAATAGGTAAGAATGGTTATTCATTGATTCCATCCTGATTAGAAACGCAGGCAGGGAAAAAGAGGATAATGGACTAAAAGCCTGAACTGGGGAGGTGATTATGAGGGAAGATCATGGTCAGAGGGGAATATCAAAGCTAGAAACCTTATGGGTACAATATTTCTGAGCAATTTGAGAGTCTAAAGCATGACTGTGTTTAGGTACTAAAATGGAACACAAATGAAGGTAACTAGGAAGGAGCTGGCGAGCATGTCAACTGAATATCAACCTGGACAGTGACATCATCACTGAAGACTGTAATAGGTGGGGTAACCATATGACCCAGTTTGCCTGGGTCCTTCAGTTTATGACTGTGGTCCCAGTGTTCTAGCTGATATAGATAATAAACTCTATGGGGGCCCTAGTAGCACATTACACCGGAAATTAAAAGACAAAAAACAAGCATCCTGTAGTTTGGTGATTATAAACTTACAACTCCTATTGAAAGTCCCGTTTGGAAATCTGTAGCTCTAGGGAACATCTGAGAGAATACTGAAGGAAAGAGAGAGGTGATACAATCATCCCACCTCAGGGGACGAGACAGCATGAAATCAATGCCTGAACCAGATGGCATTTCCAACTCAAAGATTCTCATTTTATAATTTTATGATTTGAATATAGATGTTCACCTTCAATTAAGAATGAGGGCTGGGCACAATGGTTTACGCCTGTAATCCCAGCACTTTGGGAGGCTGAGGCAGGCGGATCACGAGGTCAGGAGATCAAGACCATCCTGGCTAACACGGTGAAACCCCGTCTCCACTAAAAACACAAAAATTAGCCAGGCGAGGTGGTGGGCGCCTGTAGTCCCAGCTACTCGGGAGGCTGAGGCAGGAGAATGGCGTGAACCTGGGAGGCGGAGCTTGCAGTGAGCTGAGATTGTGCCACTGTGCTCCAGCCTGGGCGACAGAGCAAGACTTCGTCTCAAAAAAAGAAAAAAAAAAAAGAATGAGAATCAGGTAAGAAGTAATGGGACTAAGCTCCATAAGAAAAAGAGGTGAAAACAGATTTCTTTACAATCATGAAATCAAAGGTAGTTAAAAAAAATTAACAAGCATCAAGCATTTATTAATGCCTTTGACTTCCACAATGAAGGAAAAGATGATAAAAGGCAAAAAAAAAAAAAACAAAAAAAACAAAACAAAACAAAAAAACCTTACACATCCACACACAAAACCCCCAAAATCTCAAACCAAACCTTTCTTAACAAAAATTCACCTTGAACTAATGACGGACAATCCCAGACAGCATTTAAAAAAAATTAATGACCAAAACAGAATGCCATTATTATTTCAACTCCCTGTTAGAACCACCAGTAACCTATGATAGCTACCGGTGGGATTTTGATCCCAAGTTTAATATTAAACAGTTAAAACTAACTCTGTGATGGGTGATTGACATCATTATTTATTCAACAGGATGCCATAAAAAGTGATAGTTAAGATTTTTTGCATAACAGCAGACTTTGATGGGAGTGGGCAGAGACCTTTTTAGTGATAAACAGAAAGATTCATTTACAGGATACAAATACTCTGTGCAAGATGTTTCAGCATCTCTGAGGCTGAACACAAAGGCCACCTTACCTCCCGTCTGCATAGTCTGTGTCTGCTCCGCCCCACCAGACATCCGAGTCATCCTCCTCCGCATCAGCAGAATCCACATTGTCACTTTCCTCAGCCAGTGGGCAACACACAAACTCTACCCCTCGGAACTTATCGATTCCGCAGGGCAGCAACATGCCGTAGTCATGCAAGTTGGTGCTCTTCTCACTGCACGTCTACAAAGTGTGGGGAGAAAACAGTGAGTGGTAGAGTAGATGTGTTTCATTGTAAGAAAACTCCACATAAAATAATCAACAGGCAGACCCAATATATGAGGAACCAATTTCACAAAGGAAAAGATCATTTGCTTTTTGAGTGAATTCACAACAGGATTTTTTTTTAGCATGGGTTACACTTTGGTACTCTTTTTTTTCTTAAGATTATTATTTATTTAATAAGACCACGATGTTATATAATAGAGGTTTATACGAACAACTGGAATGAAAACTAATTGAGAAATAAGATGTAGAAGGTTCCACTGGCGAATAGATACCAGAGAATTAATGCTTTCTAGCTTAATTCGTGTATCCAGGTAGATCCCCAGCTCACTCCTACCTCCCTTACAGATGGAAGTTTCTCTCACATGGACTTGCCTTATCCTAGAAATTCTGACTCTCTTGGTTCACTTTGTTACTCTAAAACAATCCTGGGAAGAGAAGAAATTATCCCCTACAGCCACTATGCATCAGAACTTACAGTCATTAGAGATTTCTCCTTGAATTTTTTTTGTTTTTTGGGATTTGCTAAATTTGCACAAATCTAGATTAGCATAAAGCTCTGAGAGCATCCACTAGTGATAAATGAAGGATTAATAATTCAATACACAAAGGTAAACAATGAAAATATTAAAGACTGTATTTTGACCTTATGGGAGTCATTTTTGTTTCTTAGAGACAAAGGATTTTTCTTATGAAAACACAGAAGGAATAAAAAATGAGGTTATCAAATAGGTAGCTGGACTTCAACTTATTTGGTTTGTTTTCTTAAACTCAGCAAGCTCTTAAACCTCCAAAACACATTTTTATATAATGAAAATTTTATTCTACAGTGGATCCAAATGTATTATTTTATAAGAGGCAACAAATAATGCTAAATCTTCAGTGGTATTTTCTGCCTAACAGCTATAAAGCTAGGATACAATGGTTAAGCTAAGCTAGATCAGATTTCTCAACCCCAGCACTACTGATGTTTTGGACTGGATAATTCTTGGGGGTGGAGGGTGGTTATCCTGTTGGCTGTAGGATGTTTAGCAGAACCTTTGGCCTCTGGACACTATCAGATGCCAGTAACACCACTCCCTCAAGTTGTGATAACCAAAAATGTCTCCACACATGTGCCGGGGAGGGACAGGGGATCAAATTCGACCCAAGTGAAGCCCTAGGGAGCTTGACAAAGGTGCCTAATATTCTAGTAGACTGATCTTACCACAAATAAACTATATGAAATTATTAGAAAAACTATCAAAGGGACACAGCTAGCTGTGAAGGTGGTCACACTACACAGTGGCCTTTTCATGCTAAGTATCTTGTACCTTTTATTGGCTTAGCCAAAAGCAGAGGTCAACCAAGTGCTCGGTCAGACTCACCCTGTGGACAACTCAAGATGGTATGCGTGGCCTTACGTATATAAAATTGGACAGTATAACTTAGAAACTGAATTCTAACTGGAGCTTTCAGGCTGGTACAAACAAGCTACCTCACTGTTCTACCACTGTATTCACTAATAGATAACAGGGGAAAAGGTTAAATTATTAAAAAATTATATATGACAAAAGAAAAAACAGGTGAATAAAAATAGTCTGAAGGGTAAACTTTAAAGTTGTGACTATTAAAGATTATATTTTTAAGTTATAAGGCATGGCACAGACCACTTTTATTTTTAAGTTGCGAAACACGACACAGGCACATAATGAATCTAGTTCAACTGGCCCTATTTTTGACATTTTAAAAATATTCACGGATGGGGAGGCTGTGCATGTTTGGGGACAGGGGGTGCACAGGAACTCTTACTTTCCATTCGATGTTGCTGTGAATCTAAAATCACTCTAAAAACTAAAATCTGGTTTACGGATAGTAGCATTGGGTTTTTTTCTTAAATAACTTATTAACATAGCTGTTGCCTCAAAATAGCCTCTAAAATGCTATTAGGTATGTCCCCAGGAAATCTTCACTTTGCAATAAGAAAGAATTATGGGCTGGTACCTCTTTGGCGACGGTGTGCCAGTGAAGATGAGTTTCGCAAACATCCATCCTCTCCTGGTGTAAGAATTTGCACTTGTCAGGAACGAGAAGGGCATCGCTTACAAACTCACCAACTGAAAGAAAGGAAAACCACTTCCCGTCATTCCATCTGTATCACAGTGTTCTTACCGCAGAGAAGGCATCAAGGAAAGACAGACTTCAAGACAAGTTAAAACAGCCTTTCAATGCCTAAGCAACCCAATCAAGACCCTACTACCTTCAGAATGTTATGTCTGGCCTCCTTAAGCAACCCAGTTTCTTGCCACACCAAGTTTGATGGTTAAAATAATTCCTAAATGCTGCAAGTGAAATTCTCCCTTAATTAATCTGAATCTCTTGCTTCAAAATTAATCCTAAAAAGCTGCTTAACTAGAGAACCAATTACCATTCTATTATAACGGGGGGTAAAATACAAATATTGACATTGTCTAGGTGAGCATTTGAGCAAAATCAATAGAAATCCCTGTCTACTTCTCTTTCTCGGACATTTTAATCTGCTTGTAAATAAAATAGAAATTTTAGCATTTTTCTACTTCCTAGGCAAAAACCCCAAAATTGTATTTTATATATATGTTTACATAACATGCATAAGAGAGAAAGAGAGACTTTAATTCATTTTAGTTCTGAAAACTGTTCCTCAGACTTTTGTTATATCTTTAAAGAAAATTTATATCATGAAAATTATTTCCAGGCACTTCTGGTACTGAAGATATAAAGATATTACATAAAGTCCTACATGAACTCAGTCTAACGAAGGTAAAAGATGGATAATTAGCACATTATATGTAAGCTGTAAACTTAATTTTCGTTTTGTTCACTGCAATATTTCCAGTTTTTAGCAAAGATTCTTGCACTTAGTAGGCAATAAATATCTGTTGATGAATGAACAAGTTAAATTCTGTAATAGAGATGAGGAAAGTGCCAGGCCAATATCTTCGGTGCAGTGGGAAAAACCTCAAAGAAGAAATAACATTCGAGATGAATCTGAATGGTGAGAAGTAGTATGCCACATGGGAAATGAATTGAACTTTCATGATATAAGGATAGAATCGGTCTTGCTTGGCCGGGCGCCGTGGCTCACGCCTGTAATCCCAGCACTTTGGGGGGCTGAGCCTGGTGGATCACGAGGTCAGGAGATCGAGACCGTCCTGGCTAACATGATTAAACCCCGTCTCTACTAAAACTACGAAAAAAATTAGTCGGGAGTGGTGGCGGGCGCCTGTAGTCCCAGCTACTCAGGAGGCTGAGGCAGGAGAATGGCATGAACCCAGGAGGCAGAGCTTGCAGTGAGCCAAGATTGCACCACTGCACTCCAGCCTGGACCACAGAGTGAGACTCCGTCTCAAAAAAAAAAAAAAAAAAAAAAAAGAATCTGTCTTGCTTGCCATTATACCCCCACAATGGCCTAGTTCTGGCAAACATGAAGAACTCTATTATAGAATCCAAATGGATGGATGGATGGGTAGCAAAAGACCCTTCAAAATGAGGGAGCCTCCGTGCAAAGAAAGAGAAAAGAACCAGCAAGGCGTACTTGCAGCCCATCATGGCTGGAGCACAAAGGAAGTGGCAAAGGGAGTCCAGAAGGAAGTAGCACGGGGGAAGCATGTTGGACTCTAATTTTAAAGAGGCTTAGGTTTTGGATGCCATTTTGGAAGAAGCAACATAGGCCAAAAGTTTCCACCCCCCCCACCCCCGATAAACTCTATAATTAAGTGAAGGATAGACCAGCATAGGGAAACCATGAAAGCAGGGAGACCACCAAGTGGGTCACTGTGGTCCTTCCAGCAAAACATGCAAGAATACACATAAACCCACAATTCCCACGGAACAAGGAATACAGATTGTCCACACACCAGCAAAGACAGGAACCAATGTCTTTCCTTCATAGTAAGCTACAGGACACTTCCTGAAATGCAACATAAAGAGGGATGAAAAGCCCTAAGAAGGGGAAGGAAGTAACTTTGCCTTCTCATAAAGGTGTTTAAACTTTAGTCTGTTTCCAGCTCAAACACATAAGATGTATCATGATACTGAAGTACTTATTTCAGTAAGTACTATTTAGATAAAAATCTAAGCAAATCATAGGGGAGAATAAGCACTGTATCTTGTCATTCCTTAAGTCTTTAAAATGATCAATGACGCCCATAGCAGTATAGTGTGTGTTGCAGGGAATGCAAAAATTATGAGACATGATACCCCAAAGACTGCAGGTGTCACTTTGCAGGGAAGAAATCAGTGAGTACTGAGCACCCACCCCATGCAGCTCCACAGGGCCACATCACAGGTTCTTTTATAACCCTCACTTCCCAGGGGAGGAATCTCTGCCAAGAAACCTAAGGCCACCTACCTCGGGAGATTATAACCTAGCCCCAGAGATAAGCATTAAGATATAAATTACAAGGAAAGAAATAACAAGATAATGCAAATGATATCACATTTCTCTTTTATATAGGATGATATAAAAGAAAACACAAACAAAAACACAAGAAGAGCTGGAGAATGGAAAGTAAAGGTAATCTCATCCAAAACAAATACCATTCCCAGGTGCATTTCTCAGGGTTTCTGAGGGCTCTCAGGGTTTCTGAGGTCAGGGACCAACCCTAGCTGCTTGGAAGAACACCTGATGTCTGAGGCATCCCAATTTTCTAGGTTACAGGAGGCCAGAAGTGACCTATGACCTGAAGATGCCCACCTCATCTGTCAGCTCTGCTCAGCCGTATTTGCAAATGTCCAAACTAAGAAGTGATGCTTTTCTATTTAATGAGTAATTATTCAAAAAATTAAATGCCTGTCATGTACAAATAGGTCAAAGAGTTTAAAAAAATTAATGCTGGCCCAAAGCCACTAAATCAGTTCGTGAGAAGAGCCACAGCAGGGATCAGATCCACTCAACCTTGGCCTGCCAGAGTTCTTGGGGGCATAAACCAGACAGTAAGTGCCAAACACCACCACCAAATCAACTTGTTTTATCTGCCCTTAGTCAATCTGCTGAGGACTAGATCATAATGCAAAGCTAAAGTTACCAAAACATATTTACTTATTCACCAAAAGGACATGTACTGCATTAATCTTTTTGTGTATTTTGAGACAAGGTCTCACTCTGTCACCCTGGCTGGAATGTAGTGGTTGGATCAAGGGCTCACTGCAGCAATCCTCCCACCTCGGCCTCCTGAGTAGCTGCGACTACAGGTGTGCACCATCATGCCCAGCTAATTATTTTATTTTTTGCAGAGACAGGGTCTAGATATGTTGCCCGGCTGGTCGTGAACTCCTAGGGTCAAGCGATCTGCCAGTCTCAGCCTCCCAAAGTGTGGGATTACAGACATGAGCCACCATGACCAGCCAGTCTGAGCATTTTTAATGAGGAGTTGGTAAACAAGCTTTTCTTAAAAGCCTGTATCAAATAAAAGTTGCCTTGGATATTAGGAGTTCATTAGCTAAGGATGTTATTCTTACTTTCATCTGGCAGAAAATCTATCCCAGAGAACCATATTCTTGAACTTGTGTTTAGGACAGAGGTTGGCAAACTACTACTTGTGGACCAAGTCTGCTCACCCACCCATCCTGCCCCCAACACCTGTATTTCTGCATTAGTCTGACTATAACAATCGTTCATTATGTTTATAAGTGGCTACTGAACCTTCTAACTTGCAAAACATTTCATTTGATACTGCCAAGATGTCTTAGTTTCTTATATTGCACAGAGCTAAGAGATATGTGTTCCTCAAAATGACAATGGTTTTTTAAAGGATTAAAACTGGTTATTTAATAAGCTCTCAGGACTAATGGCAAAACAAAAACTTCACTGTATTCTAACATTAAAATAAAATTTAGCAGTGGACAGCACTGCTTACATTACTTTTAAAATTTGATGAAACATGTTAGAATGTTACACATCAGAAATTATAAGCGATTCAACCACAAAAATCTGTTTTAAAAAATTTTTAATAAGAGTTAAGAGTGCTAAAATATAATGAAGCCTTTTTCACCAACTGGCTTCGCATGGTTTATATTTTCTTTTTTTAATTAAAAAATACTGTACTTAAAAATCTTTGCTAGGAAAACAGGTATATGGAAACGGTATTTTCTACTCAAATTTGCTGTGAACTTATACTACTTTGTTTTTAAAAACAAAGTTTGTTAATTTAAAAAAGACTATGATCGTATATACCTGGAGTTTCTCTCCACAGCCACGTATACCTTATTTTTTACAAATGCTTCTGTTTATTTGCTTTGATCTTTCAGGTAAAAAAGTTTGTAACAGAATTCTGGTATAAGACATCAAAGACCAAAACAAATTAAGCATCATAATGAGAAATCATGTTCCTGTTTACGGCAAACTTTAGGAAATTTGGCACCATTTATTTCCAGCGGATAAATTCGTCAATATATACTACGCATGCTTATTGCTAAACATACAACCTGGTTTCTTGCTTAAACAATTCACAATTTATATTCAAAACACATGTCACACACCACACACACACACCCCTCACAACTGAAAGGGAGTTTTCAAAGCTAATGAACAAAATCTGGGTCTGTCTTCTTGGCTATGAAGTCTTGGCAAGGTGAACAAGGATGGCAAATTCAATAGGAGTCTGCAGGCCTCAATCTGCTAGCTCCTTGGTGGTCTTTGAGAGGACTGTCTAGCTCAAATTACCTCATTTTGCAGATGGGAGGAAAAGAGCCCAGGTCAGGTGACTTGCCCACAGAGCCAACTGGCAGTAGAACTAGACTGAAAATCCAGGTCTCCAGTTCTCCATCCAAAAGTGGTAACTCAACTCACTCATTTAAACTCTGTTCAAAATGGTTCATTTGGCCCATTTCCTTTGGCTTTTACAAAAGTAGTTCACTTTTAGACTGTGAAGTACTTTAATATTATAATCCACAATGTGGTCAATTTGACAATAAAACTCGACTTAAATGAGCTAGCAAGCCACACAGAACAGCTGGGAATGCATTCAGCGGCAGAGAACAGACCACATGTCAAACCTGGCTTAAACACACGGTAGGATTGTGTATCTCACCTAAGAAGTGACACTGAAGCTAGGGCCACTGCAGACATTCCATGATG